TAGGACTGAACCAAATTAACCACATCAAAAATCAACAAAATTGCTATTTGGACTTTTTACTAACGAATATTTATGAAGATTTCTGTGTGACCGAATCATTAAGCCCATTGTGGAAAAACGAAGCGTTTCACACAGCAATTGAATATTCTTTATTTGTACACGAATACCAAAGACCCAACGACTGCGAATACGAGGAAGTCTTTGAATACAAATTAGCAGACTACGAAAAAATCAAACATAAATTAAACAGCGTCAATTGGCAAATAATTCTAAGGAATGAAGGAAATGTCGAAACTGCTGTAGACATCTTCTACCAAATTTTATCAGGAATAATTTTGGAAGAAATACCTTTGAAGAAAAAAATACGCTACAGAAGCACAAAAAATCCAGTCTGGTATAACAGACAAATAAAAAACTTAAAAAATCGAAAACAGAAAGCACATAAACATTACAAAAAACACAATAATAGTGAAAATTTGGCTATCTATTTGGACTTATGCGATCAACTAGATTTAGCCATCAGTAATGCATTTGAAGAATTTAATTCAAAAACTGAACTTGAAATAAAGTCCTGCCCAAAGAACTTCTTTAATTACGTAAAAACCAAATTAAAATCTGACAATTTTCCATCACTAATGCATCTTGACGAACGTGTCGGGGATAGCTCGGAAAAAAATTGTAAGCTTTTTGCAATTTTTTTTCAAGAAATCTATACGACATTTTCCGATGAAGATCGCGACCGCGATTATTTTGCATTTCATCCAGAATTTTCAAGGGACATTGGCGTCAATCAACTTCAAGTGCAGGATATTTTGCAGGCTTTAAAGAATTTAGACGCCTCAAAAAGTCCTGGACCTGACGGAATTCCTCCAGTATTTTTAAAAAGTCTAGCAATGGAACTCACTGCTCCATTGTTTTGGCTTTTTAATATGTCACTGGAATCCGGAACCTTCCCAAAAATATGGAAAAGCTCATTTTTAGTACCTATTTTTAAATCTGGCCGAAAATCTGACGTACGTAATTATCGTGGAATAGCCATTATCTCTTGCATTCCAAAGCTTTTCGAGGCAATTGTAAATGAAAAATTATTTCTTCAAACCAAAAATAGAATTACTGACATGCAACACGGCTTCTTTAAAGGACGTTCGACCTCGACAAATTTACTTGAATTTATAGACTATTCATTAAATGCAATGGATAATGGAAACCACGTAGAAGCTCTCTATACAGACTTTAGCAAGGCATTTGACCGAATTGACATACCAATGCTTCTTTTCAAATTGAAAAAAATTGGAATTGAGCCAGGACTCCTGAAATGGCTTGAATCATATTTAACTAACCGCCAACAAATAATTAAATTCAACGGAAAGAAATCGACCCCAATTCAAGTCACCTCAGGAGTCCCGCAAGGCTCTCATCTGGGACCTCTTCTTTTTATTCTGTACGTAAACGACATTTCCTTCATTCTCAAAAAAATAAAATTGCTAATCTATGCCGACGACATGAAGCTCTTTTTGGAAATAAAAAATGATGAAGACATCAATATATTCCAGAGTGAAATACACATATTCTACACGTGGTGTAAAAAAAGCCTATTAGAACTGAATGTAAAAAAATGCAACTTAATATCATTTAGCAGAAAAAGAACACCATCAAACATTTCAATTGCATTAGGAAATCAGAATGTAGAAAAATGTGAAAGAGTCAGGGATTTAGGGATTATCTTAGACTCCAAACTAACTTTCATAGACCATTACAATACAATTATTCACAGGGCAAATAACATGCTAGGCTTTATCAAGCGCTTTTGCTATAACTTTCAGGACCCATACACAATTAAAACACTATATATTGGGAGTTGGTTGGAAATGCTAACATGAAGCTTTAGTGTGATGATTTATTAGCTAGAGAATGATCTTTAGAAGAATGTAGGTGGATAGTTCCGTTAGAGTACGGCAGTATGAAAATTGAATAGAAGTTGAAAATGAGCGAAGGGCCATTAAAGCGACAGTTTTCAAGATGACGCACATTTTTGCCTAGCCCGTACGATGTACGCGGGGACTTGAAGTATGTCTCCAAGTCCACAGGCAAAAATGTGCGTCATCTTGAAAACTGTCGCTTTAATGGCCCTTCGCTCATTTTCAACTTCTATTCAATTTTCATACTGCCGTACTCTAACGGAACTATCCACCTACATTCTTCTAAAGATCATTCTCTAGCTAATAAATCATCACACTAAAGCTTCATGTTAGCATTTCCAACCAACTCTGAAAATCGTTAACTTCGCGTATGAAGTAACATAAAAAACACTTTGACTATATATTGCCTATGTGAGGTCAATACTGGAATATTGCAGCATTGTATGGTCTCCATTTTCAATCACGCACGAAGAAAGATTAGAATCAGTACAAAAGCAATTTCTATTATATGCCCTTCGTAAATTAGGTTGGACATCATTTCCTCTTCCATCATATGAAGCACGCTGCATGCTTATAAACATACAAACATTAAAAGAGCGTCGTGAATATGCAATGGTTTCGTTTGTAAACGATATCGTTTCGCAGCGCATTAACTCAGCAGAACTTTTATCAAAATTAAATTTTTATGTACCTACTCGACAACTCAGAAATCGAAATTTATTTGCCGTAACCCATCATCGCACAAATTATGCAAAATTTGGGCCATTAAATCGCATGATGGCGTCTTACAATCAATACTGCGAAACCATTGACTTTTCAATGTCTCGGCATAAACTAAAACAATATTTTAACTCCATACGAAATCATAACTCGTAGGAAGTAAAAATATAATAGCTGACAATATATTTTTTAATATTCTTAAGAAAAACAAATTTGTATATGTATTTGTACTAGTCTACATCGGTTGATGAAATAAATAAATAAAATAACTTTCCATCTGTCAAATTTTAACCAAAAGTTAAAATAATCCACCAAATAGTTCAGGACTTCGGCAGCCTTACACACTAAGATTTTTTTACAGTATACCGTAATTTTTTACCGAATATGGAACAGCTGAACATTCGGTAATCTATTCGGTAATTTCATTCAAAGTGTTTTTTATGTTACTTCATACGCGAAGTTAACGATTTTCAGAGTTGGTTGAAAATGCTAACATGAAGCTTTAGTGTGATGATTTATTAGCTAGAGAATGACCTTTAGAAGAGGGTAGGTAATTTTTTGAATTTAAAATCCGTTCGGTAAATTTTGTTCCCTTGTGAGCTGTCAAAATGTACTGACCAGGACTGTAAATTTTGCTGAATGATCGGTGAAGTTAGCAATATAGCGTTCGGTATAATTTTACCGAATTGGCTGTATTAATCATTAATAACATGATTTGATTAATTAATTAATTATTTATTTCTAACAACAAACCTGAAGATTCGTTTGAATAATCATTTATTTATTATCTATAAACATACATTTTCATCGCGCGTCCGTATATATAGTAAATAAGAACCTGACCGTGGTTAGCGACCCAGAAGCGAACCGTGCACAAATTCGCTTTTTGCTGTAGTGGACGAGGTTTGTGTGTGGCATTTGGCTATTTAATGTTCATATCGTCTGAAAGCAATTGGTCCAGAAATGAAAAAGAATTATATAATTAATACTTTCGATATAAATTGGACGGATTATAGGAAAACATTAACGTACTTACTAGTCACAAACAAGGTTGCAAAGACTCATTTCAGCTAAAATAATGTTTTTCGGAATAATAAAACCAAAAGATGGTATGATGGCATGTTTTACTTGTAACTTACAAGAAGAGGTTACATAGTATGCGTTGGAAACATAAAACCTGTAAATTTTGCTTTCTATGAGTCACAATCAGCGATTTGCTGATCGCTGAGTGAGTGAGTGAGTGAGTGAGTGAGTTTGTGAAAAATCGCTGATTGTGACTCTCATGAAGTGAAATAAACAGGTTTAATATGTCAAACACATTCTTTGCAACCTCTTCTTGTATCCTAACTATTCAAAATTTGATCATGGCATCTAATTATTTCATAATTTAGAAAAACATTGTTTTAGCTGAAATGAGTCTTTGCAACCTTGGTCACAAAGGATAGCTGAAGACCACTCAACTTCAAAATAACAGCAAAGCTTTACAGTGTGAAGTTTACAAACCTGTTCTGTATTTTTTACAAAAATCTGGCACATTACTGCTGTTTGTTTTTGTAAAAGATTATGTTTACAGCACATTCGTCACAATTTTTACAGTATTGCGGAGTTGCAGCAATTTACAATTTAGATCAGTAATTTTGATTTACAGTTTTCGGTAAATTTCTATAAATTACGGAAATTCAGCAGTTTTGATTGCGGAATATTTGTAAATCATTACTTTTTACAAAACTTTCGGCAAAAATTATATTTTACAGAACGAATCCAGCAAAAAAAAAGTACCGAACAAGATTTAAGAGATTTGGTGTGTAGGACTTGCATTGTTCAGCTTGATTTATACCCCGTTCACATTACAGCGTATATCACGTGATATACGCTGTCTTGCAATGAGCACTCATACATCTAGTTTCCACTGGAAATCCTATGTATGAGTGCTCATTGCAAGACAGCCTATATTACGTGATATAGGCTGTAATGTGAACGGGGTATTATTCTCACAAGGACACCGTTGTGCAGTCACCCTGTATATGAGGTAAATGGCGTAAATGGAAAAACTTACACCCACCCAAACATGAGCTTTCAGAAAATGTTTAAAAAACCTTGCACATTTCTGACGTTTCTCTCCTAATTCGTCTTTCACGAAAAAGACTATACCACAACACCCACACCACCAGACGGAAACTCCAAAAATAAAAAAATCTGATAAAATCCGTCACCGACCATCACCGACAACAGCTAGAAAAGAAAAGATACATCGCATGGTCTCCCTCTGTCCTTTTGGTTCGAATCGCCGTCCGGTTCGTTCACCACCGTGTCTCGAGCTGTGTTTAGTGTAAAATGCGTAGTAGTCTCGGTAGTGTTTCAATACTAGACGGTCGTCCGGAAAACGTCGCCGCCGTCGTCGGTTGGCTTTTTTAGTATACAAGACTCCTACTTGGTGAACGCGAAGGCAGTCAAATTGAATCATCACGCACTAGCCTCGCTCGGGTTCGGAACGGAACGAAACGACGGAGTGTGATGTTCTATTAGGGACGCTCCCAGCAGCAGCAGTTTGAAAATATTTACATCCAAGAATAGTGAGCTGAGCGCTTTGTGGGGCTGGAAGTGAAAAAAAGAAAACCTCTGCGACCAGACCCCTGAAGAAGAGGGGGAAGAAAATCTTCACCGCGGCTGTGAAATTTAAATAGCAGAAGCAGAAGAAGACGAAGAAATCGCATGTATGAAGAGTGTGAATTTTAAATCACGGAGTGGCGACGAAGAATAGAAGGTGCAATATTTATTTTTCAGGTGTTTCCAATTTGAAACAAAACTCGCAAATTCCAAAATAAAAGTGCATGACGTTACGCTCGGTGCGGGGAAGAAGACGAATGATTACGCGATTCTGAAACAGCAGGAGAAACAAGAAGAAGGCATTAGCATTAGTTTTGGAATTTTCTTGCCGTTTGGCCAAGGGGAAGACGCGGACAAGGAGGTACCTAGAGCCGGAGGGAATCAACAATTTTACGACTTGGAGTTTGGTTTTGGTGCTGATCCCGGTTTTCGACGTGGCAGACAAGTTTTTTTTTTTGGTTCGGAAGAAGCGGAAGGGGTAATAGTTCAATACAATTATCTGTCGCCAAGGAGTGGGCGGAGGAGCAAGAAAAATAGCAAGACATCGGTCACATACGGCGACGTTCTGTGCTAGCTGGCAGGCTGCATATATGGATGTGGATGGATAGTAGGGGCACACATCTCCGATCCATCCAAAGGCAAAGACAGACCGGACCGATTTCTAGCGCGAACGAACGAAGGTAGGTAGCATGTGTGGGAAGATTCGGCACTCTAAAAAATATGGAATCACAATATTTATCTTTGGTCCGCTTTTCGGTCATCGCGCTGCTGCTGAGATCGTCAACAAGTTTTGTTTACTCTTTTAATCAATACACACCGAACCGGACCAGTGTATCCGTCGTGTCGTTTGTGTTATTGCTCAAAGTTATTAGGAGCGGAGGTTCGAAAACGATAGCAAAATTCGTGCTTTTAGCACGGTGGGCAGTGGCGCCGTTTTTGGCAGAATTACTGAGAGGGGGATTTTGTCAGTCAACACTGCAAATAGAAATTGTCTACAAGACGTCATTCGCCGGTAAGTAGGCGTCGTCTACATCTACCCGCATAAGCTTGATTTGAAGCTGGACCAGTGTTGAACAGTTTCGCCTGACTGGAAGGTATTAATTATGCCGGCATTGCAGCTAAAATGTACCCTTTTGACGAATGTTTCACCTCGCGATATCGGTGACATTTCGATAGTTTTATATAGGTACATGTTACAAATAGCAGGGAACCACGCGCGCGCGTGCACTAGTCGCATTCTTAAAGCTTGAAACCTTCTTCTCCTTGACGACGACGACTAAGTAGGAGAATATGGAGGGGGTCGTTGATGACAGCAAGACATCAGAATATGTGTTGCTGTTTGCTTTGACTGCAGAGGCGTTGAAGTGAAATAGACATGGATTGTAATACTCGAATCCAAAACCGGACTCCGGAATCGAAAGCACACCTTAGCGCTTTTTTGAAGAATGGTGACTAATAATATCGCCTACATGATGTGGATTGAATATACATCATGTTGCCACCACCCACCGGTAAGCGGTTTGATCGTTGAGTGTTTTCAAATTGGAAAAAGTTCCAAATCTTGAAAGTGTTTCTATTCTTTTCTACTCTAAACTCCAAAAACTCGAAAAATTCTAAGTTAAAATATTTTGAATAAAATTTCCCAAATTACCCAATTTCGGGATTTTAGGTTGTTCTTTAATTTTCTGGAAAGGTTGGAAATGTTTAACCGTTAACGGAAAACGGGAAAAAGCAAAACAATTCCTCACGCACATAAGGGTTGTGGTGTTTCGAACCGATTTCAATGATCGAAGACGTTTATTACGGATAATATCAAACTCTTTATTCTTTGCAAATTACACGCAATTGCAAACTTGGCGTTATAAGAATAATCCTTCTTTTTCTTTCCCCTCCTTCTTACCGTCATTTCTCTCTCTGTCTTCGCGCACAGCTCTGTCAACGGCTGCAAATTCCAGGGTTGTATCCATTTCATCAGTTGCATCCCACAGGCTCCCCCCAGTTACACCAAAAATCTAATCCGGTGTCCTGTTGGTGTAACGTTAGTTTGGTGATCGTCTGAACGATGATGTTCCAAGTTTGGGTTGCATATAAAAGCAGGTTTAATCCGGTCGATCGAAATGCGCTGAGTCTTCCCAGATATAATGACATCCATGTATTTATCAGTTCGCTGTACTACCTCATATGGATGGTGGAGCGATCGGTTTACGGAGTCCACTCTAATGAAAACGTGCGTACAAGAGCTCAACTCTGCGTTGACGAATATTTTTCGAGGACCATGACGGCTGGGCTTGGGTGATTTTACGTTCTCAAAGGAACGATGTAACAATTTACAAAAATCTGTTCGATCAACAGTTGATGCCGGCGATTCAAAAAAAATCACCAGGAATACGTAAGCCTTGACCGTACACTAGATCTGCAGCTGAGCATTTCAAATCTTCTCTGTATGAAACACGCAGTCCAAGCAAGATCATCGGAAGCTCGATGTACCAATCCTTCGGGTTGACGTACATAATAGAAGCTTTCAACGTCCTATGGAATCTTTCCACAATTCCATTCGCTTATGGATGGTATGCAGTAGTCCGAATATGATGAACCCAGTGGCGTCGCGTAACCTCACTTTTTACCTGTTCAACAACTTTGAAAACGTTATTTAGGGTCATGTTTACATTCAAATCAGTTTCAAAAGGCATAGGGTCTTCTAGTTTCACTGATTTGTATCCATTGGAACCAATATTGTATTGTTTGTTTACGTTTTGAGAGTTGTTGAACAGGGAGATTGAGGTTAGGATGACGCCACTGGATGAACCCCTAACATTTGGGTCAGTACGTTGAATAATTCCGACTCAAATTGACATCCTTGGTCTGTTGTTATATTTTCAGGAACACCAAACCTTGAAATCCACGTCGAGTACAATGCTTGTGCTACCGTTGGTCCTGTCATGTAGGTTAGCGGGACTGCTGCTGGCCAGCGTGAAAAACGATCGATCATCGTGAGAAGATAGCGATGTCCTTGTGATGGTGGCAGAGGTCCAACAAGGTCGATATAAACGTGCCTAAATCGAGCCTTTGGAAGATCAAATTCACCCAGTCGTAATATGACGATGCACCTTCGAACGTTGACAGTTTAAAGAGTTCTTGACAAATCTGTTGATATCAGCATTCATGGAGGGCCACACGAAACGCTCTGCTATGAGTTTTATTGTAGCCCGAGAACCGAGATGCGCTAGTCCATGAAAGTGCGTCATGACATTTACTCGATGTGGCTTGGGAATATACGGAACAAAATGTCACAATATATTTTTAGACCGTACTGTGGCAGTGACTTGACTTCAAATTTCAAGGATGTACTGTTGGATTTCATTAGAGCTTCAAGCTCCACGTCATCTTTCTGATCACGACTAATTGTTCCGTAATCAATTGAAGTCGGTGATAGAATGCTATCTCTATATCTACATTGTCTTTTCCGCTGACATGCTGGATGTCGGTTGTGAATTGCAATATAAATCTAAGGTATCACTCTTCATGCGGTAATCGTGAAGTGGATTAAGTTGCCAACGCGAAATTTAATGGACGATGATCCGTAAAAATAGTGAAGTTACGTCCTTCTAGCAAATGTAGAAAGTAATTCGCAGCCATTTTCATAACGGTTAACTCACGCCCAAACGTGAAATAGGAACACTGAGATTTTGAAAAAAATTCAGAGTAAAAACCTAGTGGTTCCCAAACAGTGCCGTTTAACTGTTGTACTACCGCCCCCGCAGCAGTGTTCGAAGCGTCGATCATTAGCCCAAGTGATTTTGTGGAATCAGGACAATGAAGAAGCGTAGATTCTGCCAGAGAAGTTTGCACTGTTCGAAACTTTTGCGTGAAGCCTCCGTCCAATGTAGCTTCCGAGAGTCATTTGTCTGGAATCAGTTTCCGCAGCTCAGCTTATATATCCGTGGCAAGACGAATGAACCACTTATACCCGTTCACAAGCGCCAAGAAGCGGCACAGTCTTAACGCTCGTAGGCATTTCGTAGTCCATAACAGCTCGTACCCGTGCCGGAAGAGGACGCACACCACTTTCACTGATGAGGTATCTCAGGAACTCCAACTCAGTGCGTCAAAAAAAGCTTTTGGCCACGTTTATGAACAGACAATGTTGACACAATCTTTCAAATACGATTCGTAGGCGTTCGAGATGCTCTGAAGCAGAGGAAGAAGCAATACATATATCGTCAAAGTCCAAGTCAGTGAAAATCCAATTCATGCCAAATTGCATCCGTGTGAACTCAAACAAACCAAACGGAGTAATGACCGCCGTTTTTAGAATGTCGTTCTCTTCTACAGGGATTTGATGGTAAACTCTCTCTCTAAGTCGATAGTAGAAAACATGGACTTACCATGGAACGAGTTCAGCAAATCATGGATGTGAGGTATTGGGTGGCTACCCGGAGTCGTGGCTTAATTCAATGGCATTGACCGTTCTTTTTGGACGCAGCTTTTACTTTTTCAAGATGCATCCGACGAACTTTCGATGCTGTTGGAGGCCCTTTAGTAAGGATATGATGAGTAAAGTCTTTCTGCGTCTGTGACCGCATGGTAGCAGGCAGCGTTATTTCTCGATACTCCAGTAGTAGTGCCCGATACGGATGATCTGCGTTTACTGTCGTCACATTGTAGAGCTGAGCTGTCATCACATTTCCAGGGGAACTCAAGCCAGTTTTCCCGTCCGTAAGGCGTTGATCAAAAAATTCCAAAGGAAGCTCCGTCTGAGATGATGATGATGATGATGATGGTCCCACCTCTTACCCCATACAAAGGTTTGAGCTGGACGATTTATCTTTAAGATAATTATATATCACATTTTAACCAGGTTGGCAAACAAAATCGAACTGGTTTCAGTTACAGATATAAATTCCCTCTAGAGTTTACAGTTGCTTCACAGCGATATAAATGTGGAAAAGCTCAGGTGTCCACCTCTTAGTTCGCCTTTTGTCCACCTAAAATATTCATAAGTATTACAAGCAATCAAGAGTTAATGAACAATCAACAAAGCATCCTATTACACTAGCTACCTTAACTTCCCAATCAGGCTAAGGCCTTGTTGTCCTCTACTGTCCGAAAAAGTCGTCTCCACTCTACTCGATCCATGGCCATAGTTTGGCCATAGTTCGCCAGCCTCGTAGTCTGCGATGGGTCCGCAGGTCGCCTTCTACTTGGTCGATCCACCTTGCCCGCTGCGCGCCTCTTCTTCTTGATCCTGTTGGGTCGCATTCTAGAACCATTTTCACTGGGTCGTCGTGCGGCATTATTACGTAGTCGCCCAATTGTTGCAATGTGGACGATGGATGCTTCTCCCAGCAGCTGGTGCAATTCGTGGTTCATTCGCCTCCTCTACGTTACGCCATCCATCTGCAATCCACCGTAGATGGTACGCAACACCTTCCATTCGAATGGTCCTCCACGAGCTTAGTCCAATCCGTCTAGGTTCAGCCTTCAGTCTGATGTACGTTTCCGCCATCGTCTCAAAGTTCCGTGCCATGATGTCAATGTCATCGGTGAAGCCAAGAAGCTCACGTGCCACTCGTGTCTATCCCCGCTCTTCTGATCACACCTTCTAACGCGATGTTGAATAGCAGACACGAAAGTCCATCACCTTGCCGTAACCCCCTTCGAGATTCAAAGGGACTCGAGA